GGCGCCCGCAGGCGACGTGGGCATGGGCGAGGAGCTGGAGGACGACGAGCTGGACGAGGAGGATGAGCTGGACGAGGACGAGCTGGACCAGGAGGAGGAGGAGGAGGAGGAAGAAGAGGAAGACGACATGTGGAGCGAGGAAGATGAGGACGCCGACCTGTGGGAAGACGCGGGCGAGGACGACATGTGGGAGGAGGATGTGGGCGCCGAGCTGTTCTTCGGAGACGACGACTACGACGAGGACGTGATGGAGGAGGAAGACCTGGAGGTGGAGGTGGAGGAAGAGGAGGAGGAGGAGGAGGAGGAAGAAGAGCAGGCGCCCCCACCTCCACCACCACCTGGACCCCTGCTGCTGCCCAGGCCTCGACGCCCCCAGGCCTTCACGTGCCCCCAGTGCCGCAAGACCTTCCCTCAGAGGAGTTTCCGGCCCAACCTGCAGCTGGCCAACATGGTGCAGATCATCCGGCAGATGCACCCGCACCCCCAGCGGCTCGTGGTGCCGGCCCCCCGGGGGCCCGGGGGAGCGGCGGCCGTGGCGCCCGGGGCACTGGAGGGACGGGCCCTGTGCGAGAAGCACCAGGAGCCCCTCAAGCTCTTCTGCGAGGTGGATGAGCAGGCCATCTGTGTGGTGTGCAGGGAGTCGCGGAGCCACAAGCACCACAGCGTCGTCCCCCTGGAGGAGGTGGTGCAGGATTACAAGGTACGAGGAGGTTGTGGGGGCCATGGGGCGCAGGAGACGGGTGGGTGACCAGCAGTGTTCGTGGAGGGGGGTTTGCTTGGTTTGACTGGGTGGTGGGTAAGGGCTGTTGGCCAACTGGCTTGTGGGGAAACTGGATTTGGGAGCGTTGGGTTGCTTTGTGAAGTTGATTAAGGGGTTGGATTTATGGGGGTGGTTTTGCAGGTAGGAGATGCGTTTAGTTAATTCAGGCTGGTTTGGGGTAGGAGTTTACATGGTTACGTTGGCTTTGCCAGGTAGCACTGATGCCCTGGGGCTGTGTGGTGTGATTTGGGTTGCTTTGTAGAGCAGCGGGGTTAATCCCACTGAGTGTTTTGGTAAAGGTGAATGAAGGTTGGCAGAGTCTGGCTGAATTGGTGCCCGTTGGCATGGGTTAGAGCAGGGGCAGGCAATTATTTCGGATGGAGGGCTGCTTACTGAGTTTTGGCAAGCCATCGAGGGCTGCATGATAGGCAGCCAGGGGCAGATAAATACGAATTTTCTAAATTTTTCAGGGGCCCCGCGGGCCAGATAAAATGGTTTGGCGGGCCGCATCTGGACCCTGGGCCGCATTTTGCCCACCCCTGGGTTAGAGGCTAAGGCCTTGTAACTCCTGCAGGTGTGCACTTAGATTCACAGTCTACTAGGCCAGAGGGAACCATTGCCATCACTAGATTGACCCCTCCATAACCCAGGCCTAAGAGTCCTCTAATTGACTCCTGTTTGTACTAGATCTAATTTCTTACTTGCTTTATTAATTTCCAGTGATGCCATCATGACCACCCACCCCCCCCCCCCCCCCCCCCCCGCTAAACACTTCTAAGATCAGAGCCTTTGATTATGTAGTTTACATCTTTTACAAGGGTGTTGTGTATGGGGATTTCTCAGGAATCAGTGTTGTGAAAGGTCCTCCTGGGGAGATAAGCGTCCAAAATCAGGCCTGAGCTGGTGAAAGAGTAAGTTGCACAGGGAGGACAGCAGCAATGGGGGTCTGGAGGGGAGACTGTGAACTCTATCCATGAGATTGTGCAGTTAATCAGCACATTGGTTCTGCTAACAGGTTTAGTGAGATGTTTATTATCTACACAGTACCCAAAAGTGTTTTTAAAAAATAGGGGAAAAAAGAGAGACATTTTTATTTTTAAAGAGATACCGTGAACTTAAAAAATTGCCTGGATGTCTTGCATCAGCTAGCACCACACTGGACTGTTCACCTGTTGTCTCTTACTCTTAGTTAGTAGCTCTTTGGGGTAGGGACCATGTCTCTGTTCTTTATCTGTAATGGCAAGCACAGTGAGGGCCCTAGTCCATGACTGAAAATTGTAGCCATACTATTTCTGCAAGAGATTACTTAGTGTTACTTTGAAGCCAGGAAGAATGCAGGGTAGAGATGCATGCATCTCTGATTTAATTAGTCTAACATTTTTTCCCAGAAAAGCCATATAAAGAGCAAGCTATCAAATAGAGTGATTTGGATTCAAAAGATAAGGGAAGCAGGAGAGTGGGGGAAGGGAACTGTGCGGAGAGAGGCAAATGAGTACTTCTGCAAAATTACAGCTAACGCCCTGAATCAGCAGACTGTGGTCTGCAGGGAGAGCAGCCCCATTGTGTTCAATGGCTTTAGATAAGTGAGTAAAATGTGTGTAGGCAGACAAGGTTCCTTGGGTGAATCTGATATCTTTTATTAGACCAACCCAAATAGTTGGAAAATAATTATTAAGCAAGCTTTCGGTTTCAAAAACCCTTCTTCAGGCTAAGGAAGTTTCAGCAGTAAAGTGTGTGTAAGCATTGATAGGATTCAGGTAGAAGATTCCTGTAGGTGAAAGGGGTTTGGGGTCTGGGGAGGGACATGTTTTGTTTCTTTGCTCAGATTTTCTGTGCAGGAGAATTTTGCATGGTCGGTTTCACTGTTTTCCAGCGGTAAAGCTTCCCCTTTTTTGTGGGCTTTTTGCACAGCAACAAGAAAGAGACGGACACAATCAATATAAGGTGGGAAGTGTTACTTTAGAACTAGATAAGTTTAACAAGTACACAAAACTCTTGGCTCAGAGGTGATATCTTTTATTAGACCAACTAAATAGTAGCAAAAAAATGTGTTTCTTTGCAAACTTTCAGGCACATATACCCTTCATCAGGCTGAGGAGAATTCAAAGATTGTCCAAGTCCTCCTAGGTAGAAAATACACTCCATTTTGCACAGGGGAGGTAGAGGCTGGGGCACTTTGGCCAGGTCAAGCTTCTAAGGTGGCTTCTAACTTGCTTTTTTTAAAGAGACTAGGCTTGAAGTGGATGACATCTTTACAAAGAAACACCATACAGAGTGCTTATCAGCAATCCCAGGTGTGAATCCATCCAAGTGATTTATGTATATGTATAAATAAATACAATTATTTTATGCATATGCATAAAATTATTCTCTCAGACTGATATACATATAATTTAAGCCCCAGTCCTGCAAGCACATTACAGACATGAGGACCTATGCTAAGAACATTTTACCAGGTTAGAAATACTGCTGTAGTATATTGGCAGAATATTTCTAGTTTGGAGGCCTTTATATTGACACAGCTGTTTTGTGCCCTTCCGAGCAAAATTCCCTGCACACGTGAATCGAGCTGTACCAGTAACAGTGCTATTTTGTCAATATGATTGCATTTACCTTGGGGGTTTTGATGCACAGTTATTCAGAAACGTGCCGTTTTTAGGCAGTTATGTTCCTTCCCCCTTTCCCCAACCTGCCCTCCCCTCCCCCCCCTCCCGCCTTGTGGAGAAAGTTGTTACATGGGTAGGGTCAAAAATAGGCTTTCTAAACATGGCCCATAATAAAGTGAAGTTCTTTGGCTGGCATCACCTAGGAGGTCTGACTTGGTGACATTGTGTTCCCTTGTAGCCTCAAACTCAGAATTCGTGTCCTCCCTCTGTGTGTCAGGCAGTAAATTCCTCTGACGCAGATGTATTTGAATTCCTATACTTGGTGAAAAAAGGGGCTCATCCTGGTGTATAGATCTGCGCTTTTGGGGATATGGGCCCTGTGTTCGTTTTCCCTTTATCCTTGTTTATGGTGAAAGCCTCCAAGTTACTAAATCAACCAAATCCTCCTGAAATATTCAAGCTGAGAGAAGATGGTTTCATAGTGAAGGCTGTTGACTAGACCTTGGCAGGTCAGTGCCCCATTCCCAGCTCTGCCATGGATTCACTTAAGCCACTCATTAAGCCTTGATTTCCCACATTTATATTTGAAGCAAGAAGGAATCGTGTCTTAACTATTATTCTGCAAACACTGAGGCAGGCAGTCTCTTGCTATCTATAACTAGTAGTATTAGAGTGATATTATAGTTGTGATGGTCCAGGGAATATGTAAGAGACAAGGATTTTTGTGTGTGATACCTTTTATTGGGCCAACTGTATGGTTGGAATATAGTCTTTCCCACAAAAGATACCACCCAAAAAAATTCTTCTCTATTTATAACTGCAGCTCTGAACGCAATGTGTCTCTGATCTGAGATCTCTGGGTGCTACTGTTACAAAAGTAATGACTTGCTGGAAGTATAAGAACCAATGAAGTACAGAGATTCAGAGACTCCTGAAAAAAAAGGAAGTTGTGCACACAATCTGGAATTGTTTTTATTGTTGAGTAACATGTTTAACTGTTAACTCTTGGTAGCTTGGCATAATGATTTAATACTACATTTTCTGTGTGAAAGAGCTACTGTCCCCAAAAGGTTATGAAAACTGCAGCCCCATTTTACTCTCCTGAGATATTATCCTGCCTTGAATCCTTTTAGGGCATTTTTACACATGTAAGCACTGCAGCGCTGGGTGCTTTGAAAAGAGCCCGGCACGCAACACTTACAGTTGTATAAGGAGCGAAATGCGCGTCAGTACTGAGAAAATGACAGTAGTGTGCTTTTGAGCTAAAATACATTGGAGGTGCTTTAGTTCAAAAGCTCACTGTTGTCATTTTCTGCGCTGATGTGCATTTCACCGCTAATACAACTACACGGAGTGCGTCAGCTCACGTTTAGAGCTCTGAAGCAGTGGATCTCTGGCACGTCACGGGATGAAAAAGTATGTGTATAAATGCCCTTAAAGCTCAGGTTTGATGTTTTTGATGCATTACTTCTATTTGTATTGCTGTAGTGATTGGAGACCCTTATGCATGCATGTAATGGGCAGTTCTAGAGAGCTTACGAATTGCAATGGATCTACCAAAGGATTTTCATGCCCATCCCAGGTAGAAACATGACTGAAGTGGCAGTGGATAGGATAAAACTCCTACTGGAGACTAGAGGCCCAGAAGGTTCAAGTGATATATGTAGAGGCATTCAGAGAGTCTATGCTGGAGCTTTGAATTGAGCACTGAGGGTTTTGAGTTTGGTGCCCACTCTGTTAGATTACAGGGCCATGAAGGGTGCTTTGGGAACTGTTGACTTTGAGCAGCTACAGCCCACGTGTAGTAGAGTGCCTGGTTAGAACACACAGTTCTGTTAGGATTAAGTCTAAGTCTTGCTTCCAGTCCAGTCACCAGCTATTTATTCTAAGGCCTCTAAAATCGTATGCTTGCTCAGATTGTCTTGGCATTCGTTGTGCTCCGTGGGAGTTCAGGGTAGGATCAGTGGACTAAACTGGGATTGGTTGGACAAGGGATTCCCAAAATAAGTCTGGTCTTAAAGAGAAATCATTTGAAATGAATCCTTAGAGTCAGCTAAGTACAATTAATACGTATTATGGGCATGCATCTACAGGTGTGGATTTCGTGCACATTAAAAATGGCACATTGTGGCAATGTGGGTGTAAATTTGATACCTGTATGATACAGGTATCAAATTTTACACCCGGGTTAATGTGCAGTAATGTACGTGCAGACGTGTTAATGTGCAGTATCACAGGAGCTTCTCAGCTGGGTCTGTCCAGTCACTAGGCAGCCAGCTGGAGCCCTGATCCTGCTCCCTCTCCTTGTTGCTGGGCTGGGCTCTGCTCTGGCAGCCCCTAGACGCAGGGTATGAAAGTGTGTGGCCATTTTGTTTTGTGGAGCGTATACTGCAGGAGCCCTGTGCTCACTGCTGGATCACAGCAGACCCCATGTGCCTTCCTGGACAGCCCACCGGCTGTGTTCACTGGGGGTCTGTCCCATTCCAGAGCTGCTGCCTAGCCCCAGATGAGTGTAGCAAACTGCAACCCTTTGCAACACCCTTTGCCCAGCTCTACGATCCCACCAGGGCCAGCACCTGTTGCCTCCTGCTGCTCACTCCCTGCCTCTCTCTCTTTGCAGGACCATGGTGAAGCGTCTTGCCTGTGCAGCTGCGACTCCCTGGCTGTGCCCTTGTTGGGGGTGCTGCTGCCAGCCCTCCAGGGCTGACCACACAGGGTCAGCTGCGCAGGGGCCCAGTCCACTGGTATGGGGGTGATGTCCACCACCTTCCCCGTGTCCAGCCCTGGCCCTGCCCACGTGCGCCCACCCATCCGCAGCCCCAGGGAAGCAAACTGGACCTAGGAGGAGCTGCATGCTTTTGTGGCAGTCTGGGGTGGGGACGATGTCTAGAGGCAGTTCATCCAGAGCAGGCGCCGTAACACCCACGTTTACAAAGTCCTAGCAGCTGGGATGTGGACGCAGGGCAACTCCTGGTCAGCGTGGCAGCGCTGTGTGAAGGCCAAGGCCCTGTGGTTCCAGTGGGTGGTTGTGACCGGCCTCAATCGCAAGTCCAGTGGAGGCCCCCAGGACCCTGCATTTTGGCGCCCTGGGGGGCCACGCCCACATCCCACCCTGATACCTCTGGTGACTAGTCACCAGGGAAGGAGATCTTGGGCCTCCAGTGCCCTGCCCTGCACTCCTCCCTCGCTGCTGTGCCCACTGGCAGCCCAGGAAGCCCTCGCCAGTGACAGCCTCAGCCCCACCCCACAGCCGTCCATGAGGAGCGGCCAGTCACACCACCACCAGCTGCCAGCAGCACCAGTTCCTCCCTGGGGCCACCGCAGGCCACAGACACCGGGTAGAGCCAGACCCCACCTGGCATGGGGAGCCCTGCAGCGAACCGCCAGCCTTGGACCCATGGTAAGTCCTGCACTGGAGGGTGGGCCCTGCCCCCGCTCCTTGCCTTGCTGACCCCACTCACCTGCCCCCGGGTTCCCCCTACAGCACACAGGGAGGTGGGACATAGGTCAGAACCTTATTGACCAGGCCGTGTCCCTGCGTCTGGGCCGGCATGGGCCTCTCATGCACCGAGGAACACATTGATCCTAGCAGCAATCTCCTCGGCGGCCAGGGAAAGGGACACGTAGCGCTGCAGTAGGTAGCCCTCGAGGTGGTGGCAGAAGTCGTAGGGCAGGCCATGCTTGCCCCCTGTGCCGTCATAGCTCCTAGTCCTGAAACAGGAGTTCAGGTGTGTTTGGGCCCCCAGCAGGATCATCATCAGCAGGGTGTAGTGGCTGGGGCACCCCTTCACTTGCACAAACAGCTCATTGCACACTTCCTATGGCATGCGCAACAGGGGCATGCTTGGGGCACAGTGGCAGTGCAACAGGGTGCTGGCCCCAGGGTGCCTCCTTGGAGAGGCTCCCTGCGGTAAGGGCCGGGGGTGTGGCTGGCCCCTCACCCCCATTGTCTGGGAGCCATGCATGCCCCGAACCTGGGCACCAGAGACTGGGAGGCAGCACAGCACAGCAGTGGGCCTGCAGGTGTGGAGGGGTTTGACGAGGGCTGGGGCCGTGGCAGCAGGTGCTGCCAGCAGCCTGGCCTGGCCTGCCTTGGGATGGGGGCAGGGGAGGCAGGCAGCTACCTGGGCCCAGGCCTGCCTGGCCAGATTACCATGGTCCCAGGCTGCTCACGCACTAGTGCCCTCTGATCTGAGGCCAGGCAGTGCAGGACCCCACGAGCAGAGAACCTTCTCTCTCAAATATTGTGAACTCTCACAAAAGCCTTCTGTTTCTTGCCTCTGCAGGGCCAACAAATGGACATGGGGAAGAGGCTGCAGGGACCCACAGGACTGCCGACAGTGGGTTGCTGCCACCCGCCACTTGGAGGCACTGGCGATGCCATCACCACATCCTGGACTGGACCTGCCTGCTGGTGGTGGAGGCCATGGAGGGTTGGGTGGTGGACTAGCAGGGATAGTAGCCAGGGACCCTTGCCCAAGAGTCAGCACAGCTCCAGGCATGCACAGAGCACGGGGCTGAGCTGGTGGCCCTGGATCAGTAGCATGTGCCACTGCTGGAGCAGTAGCTTGCTGCCTAGGGCTGCCCAGCAGAGGCTGCGCCTATGCCCCCTAGCACCTGGCCCCCGGCCCCAACCCTGCAGGGCCCCTGGGTCCTGCCTACCACCCAGCAGCAGGCCCCCAGCAACACCCTCGAGGAGCTGGTGCAGCGCTTGCTGGCCGCAGTCATCCCCAAGCTCTGCCCCCGACCTGCAGTAGCACTTCCTGTGGTTGGGGTGCTGGCTACCTGCTGCCGGGTTCTCTGACCTGGGCAGTCCCCACCCCTGAGCCCCTCTGAGGTGGACTTGAACTGAGTTTGAAGTTTGACAAATGGTTTTTTTATTGTTGGTGGGTGGTGGAGGGGCACTGTGTATCTGTGTGTGGGAGGGAAGGGGGCTGTGCTTGTTGACAGGGGACGGATGAGGTGTTTTTGTCCTGTTAATAAAGTTTGTACTGTTTCACCTACATCTGTATCCTGGAGTGGTGCTGGTGTAGGGCAGGGGGTGTGGGCAGGTGGGCCGGAGCGGGGAGTGCAGGAGGCAGGGGGTTGGCCAGAGCCTCCCACAGCTGGTGCCCTGGGCCTGGCTGGCAGGTGCATGGCTGCTCTGCGGCTTGGGGGGGGGGGGGGGGGGGGGGGGGCATACAGTGGGGCCAGCAGCAGCACGGGCCTCTGCTTGCCAGGGCCAGGGGTAGCGCGGGTAGACAGGGAGGGAGCTGCTGTGTGCTGGCCCTGGGCTGGGCATGCGGCGGCTGGGCAGGGCTGTGAGGGTGGGGGTGAGCCCTTAAGATGGCTGTCATGTGCTGACAGCTGCCTCTTGCCTCAGCATGGCTGCCAAGTGCTGGCAGCCATGTGGCCGGAGGCTGAAACTCCCTGTATGGCCATAGGGGCACATGGCAGGCTGCTCTGATTTAGGACTAAATCTAGTCCCAAGCCACCTGTGAGTGTAGACACCTGTCTATTTCAACTTAATGTGCATTAAATTTACTCCAGAGTTAATGCATGTGTCGACATGCCCACAGACTGGATGATCCAACTGCCTCTTCTGGCTTTGGAAACTGAGGTCTGCTGCTTCCCAGCTAGATTAAAAGGAAAATATGCTTTGAAAAGGCAGACTTAGTGATGAGCTGGTCAGAGGGGAGGAGAGAAGATTTATTGTTTTTTCTTGGTAGACCAAACTGCAGAGCCACCTGGAGCCTCTGAAAAAGAAGCTAGATGCAGTTCTGAAACAGAAATCCAGTGAAGAGGAGAAGATCACTGAGCTGAAGGTAGGTGTTAAACTTCCACGGTTGCAATAGTCAGGGCTTTTCGCCTTGCTTTTTGGTAGAAAACGGGAGGTAAGAGGTTCTGCCCAACCCATTAATGAGTCTTTTCAGTTTCTTCTGCCAGTTCTCACCTTCCTGGGGACTTTGTTTCCACAATCCCCTTCCTATTCCATCAACTAAACAAACTGGGACTGTAATAGCTGTCTTGGACACTGAAGGGGGATGGCATTTGGGTGTCAGCTCTGAAATCCTCTTTGGTGGATAGGGGACCAAGGGAGTTTTCCCTTCTTTGAGTCATTGTTTCAGACTCTTGCAGGCTCAGGTAGGTGCCAGCATGTCTTCAATTGGGAGGTTTGGTCTGGATTTTTTTTTTATACCCCAAGATGACATCCTAGCCCAGGTGTGTGTCACGCAAGCTGCAGTGGAGTAGAGGGGCAGCTCTGATAGTGATGTTGACATGTGTTCAACAGGTAACCTTCCTAAGTGCTGCAAAATATCACTTTGGTTGTCTTGAAATTTGCTGTCATTCATGGGGGTGCTCTTTAGTGATAGCAGACCAAACTTGGGGTCATTTGAACCAGGGTGGATTTGATTTAAAATGTTATTTAAATCGCTGGTCAGGAAGCCACAATTTAATCTTTTTTTTTTTTTTCTACAAAAAGTTCATTCTTGTTGTTTGATATAAACTTCATTAAAATATTCTCAAATAGGGTATCTCTTGTGGCCTGGCAAGCCTGCTACCGCAATAGGTTTTCCCTTCTACTATATGATTCCCTCGCTAGATCTCAAATCAATGGAGAGGCTATACTCAGAAACTTATCCCTCAAGACTTCTGGAATAGTCTGCTCAAAATGTTTTTCTTTTGTTTCTACTGCCCCTCCCTCCTTGCATTTACTTCCAGACTCCTCCTCCTTGCCCAGATCTACTCCACCCTCAGCAATCCTCTAGTATTTATTTAACTACTTGAAACTGCATTTTTAGAGTGGTATGGGTTTGACTTTGTGTTCACAAACTTGCAGACACAGTAGGGCTGATGAGTAGGTAATCAGGTCTGTTCTCTCTTGTCTCCATATACTACTGTTAACGAGGATGTTATCTCTGGAGACACAAACCCACAGTTTGAGAATGGAAACCAAGCACCATGGAGATGCTTAATGGGATCTTCTAGACTGAGCACTGAGTCCCATTGGGTAGAGTGGTTTTCTTTAATCTTTACTAATCTGTAGAGGAGCCTCTGGGAACCCTGTAAGATTGGACCTCTAATATAGTCCATGGCCTGTTGTGACCTATTCATAAAAAACCTTTTCTAAAAAGGTTACATGAATATATTGTCTCAAATAGTATATAATTTGAAGTTATAATCCCTATTCCATGATGATATCTTTAAGCTATAACTTACCTTAAATTAAAACTATCTTTCTATAGGTTGTTTGTTTTTTTTTAAAGTATCTTAAAAAATTTAAAAATACAGTTAAATATAAAAAAAAAAAAAATCATTAAAATTTTTTTTTAAGTTGTTTATTTTTTATCTACCTGGATTTGAACAAAGGGTTCCTGAGAGATGACACCTTTTAAAGCCAGGCAGAATCAAAATTATTTGATTCCTTTAAGGCTTCTTCCTTGGATGTATGTAAAAATAAACCAGATGAATTGGACCTGGGACCTCACTGGTTGTATGTACTCCATGCTCCAGGCTGCTGAATTTTATCTGTACTGCTACTAAAAGCAGTGGAGCCATGTGTCTTTACATAAGTGCTCTTTGTGGATCTGGTAGTCAGACCTGTGTTTTACATAGAATTTCTTGCTTTCTTCCAGCCCCAGAGCCAGCATGAACCTGATATAGATTTAATTTGGGAAGCCTTTTGTGAGCTCGGATTCAGACCATTTAACCTTACCTTGTGCCCTTTGCCCCAAATGAACTTTGCTCTCACCTGCTCAACTGGTTTAATGGGCCACAACTACCTGGTGCACAACAGTGCAGTAAAGCTTTCTAGTGCTGGAGCTGGCCTGGCTGGCTTGCTCTGCAGGGACTATTTCTGTGGTCTCCTGCAGGTGCAGTGAGAGGTCAAGAGACCTGTGTGGGATTGTGCTTGGGGTACCTAATAGCTTGAGCTATCTGGGGTGGGTAGAGGAGGTGCCTAGCTGTGTCCCTCCAGCCTCTGACCCTTTATTCCTGTCCCCTTTCAGAACAAGATGAAGCTGGAAATCAAGGAGTTTGAGTCGGATTTCGAGCTTCTGCATCAGTTCCTTATTGGGGAGCAGGTGCTATTGCTGCATCAGCTGGAGGAGCGCTATGAGGGGCTGCTGGCTCGCCAGAGCAGCCATGTCAGTCAGCTGGAGGAACAGAGTGCAGCCCTGGGCCGCCTCATCGCCGAGGCCGAGGACAAGAGCAAGCAGGATGGGCTGCAGCTCCTGAAGGTGGGATGCTTCCCTCTCTGAGCTAGGCCTGGTTCTTGCATCCCCCCTCAGTGGGCAATCCTTTCCTCCAGTGCCATGCAGACCAGATACACCCCTCCCAATCACCTCCCTGACCTCCCAGAGCTTCTTCTGAGCTAATGGTGCTAAGTCCTCAAGCAGCTCATCCTTTTGCCAACTTCTTGCAAGGCTGAATCTCAGCCCCACTTGCTAAAAAAATACCTTTTACCTTTTGGCTGGGCTGGGCCCTGCCAGCGCTTGAAATCCTACTGTTTTTGATCACCCTCACTTCTGCATCCAAACCCCAATCCCCTGCCCTGCTATGAGGGGCCATGACTCAGACCTGCAGCCCTACCCTCCCAACCCCAGCAACTGTTTTGACCTAGCATGGAGTTTGACCTGTGCTTAAACACTCAGTCTGTCTGTCACCATTCTGTAGCTACTGCAGAACTGTTGGGTGCTACTCCATTGGTTTTCGGATTTGTGTTCTGACAGCCTACACGCCTGACCTGAGGTCAGAGGAGGAGATTCCCCTTTATGCCAGATGTTGCCCAAATAAATAGCAAAAGCTGGGACCTGTGAGGGAGACTCTTAAGAGGGGAGAGAAGGATTGTCTCGTTTTACAGGAGTGGAGGGAGAGTAAGGGACTTGACTACAGTCGCATAATATGTGGCTGAGCTGGGAATTCAAATCCAAAAGTCTTAAAACTCCATTCTAGATCCATAGACTTCTGGAAAGACCTCTGGGTCTTGGATATTGTTAAGATTACAGTAAGATCCTAGTGGGGATAAATCTCATAGCATGACTGAGAACTATTAAAAATCAGTGGGAGCTCTTTTTTTTGTTTTGTTTTGTTTTTTTGTCCTTGTTCCCCAGCTAATTCCCCTTAAGTCTCTCTCTCACTTCAAGCACCTGATTAGTCCTGATGGCTGCAGCAGAACCATTCTCCTGCAGGAAGGCAGCAGTCTGCCTGAGCATCTTGCCTGATTGTAGCTGCTAAGCAGATTTTGTGCCTTGGATTACAGCTTGTTTGTCTCAGTCCTATGTTAATCTCTTTCTTCTTCCCTTTCTTAGGATATCAAAGGCACCTTCATCAGGTGAGTTATATTTCACTCCTATGCTAGTTTTGTCAATGTTGTAAGAAGAATTGGTTTAAAAATTCTAATTTAGGTTGTAAAGAGTTAACAAACTGTTGGTTGGTTGGTTGGTTGGTTTGGTTTTTTTTGTTTCTTTTGAAAATAAAAGGGTTATTGGTGGGAACCCCTGTCCACGACTACAGACTTATGGACAGTGGCCTGGTCACCTTTTAGTGTTTTGTATCCCCTGACATGGTGGCAACCACAGTAGTAAACAGTATACTGCTGAGGTCTGAAGACAGACACGCACAGAAAAGGCCTAACAGCCTTGCCTTGCTGGGTGAGGTCAGGATCCACCAGCTGTATTTGCAAAACCAGTTGGGCGGGTCCCACCCTTCCTGCTCCTTGCAGCAGCCCATCCCACAGTACCTTGCCCTCCAGGCCTATCTTGAGTGTTGTGTCCTCCAAGGGCTCTCTCTCCTTGCTGTTGCACTAATGGAAGCGGTCTGGGGCTTTGCTGGCATGTGCTAAGGTGTGTGGTAATGTGGGTGCACAAACAGCTGTAGTGTTGGGCAACTAGAGGGCACTTTACCCATCTTTTTCCCTTTGCAAGCGCCCTTTATTCTACGTTAATGAATGCCACATATTTCTGGAACATTGTCATGATTAACAAGTTGCACACTTTCTATATTTGCTGTAAAGTAAACTTGCACCTCTGTGCCATCTGCTGTTCCCTGTTACTTTCCCAGCCACCTTTTTTGCCCATATTTCCTGGCATCTGTACTAAGTCTCCCCTCCCCCAATCTTTCCCATTTCAGGGGGTCTCTCCATCCCTCCTCTCATCCCTGCAGGCCATGCTGTTACTGTCTCTTTCCCATGCCAAGAGTTCTTTGTAGACTCCTGAGGTTTTGTCTGCAACAGTGGACTGCTAGCATAGCTGCAGCTGCAGTGTCCCCCTCCCCCAACTTCTTGGTGCAGACACAACTCTGCCAACAGAAGCCATTTTCTGCTAGTAGAGCTGCATCAAACAGGTTTGCCAGCGTTCTTCTTGCCCTTCACCAACACAGCTCTGGGGGCAAAACTTAGGAAAGTGGACACTGTCTGAGAGCAAAGCGCTTCAGGTGCCAGCCTATGAAATGCTGTTGGGAGGATGGGCAAAAATGAAATAAGGGTGTCATTTTTGTTGGAAGGTATCAGTGGGCACCTACCAGGTCATTTGATTTTTTGACCATTGAAGAGAGATACATGGAGGTGTAGACATGCATAAGCAGGTGACAGGGGTTCTGAGTGTCCTCCATTCTTTTGGCAGACAAGGTTCTTTTGGTTGAATCTGATATCTTTTATAGTTGGAAAACATTTTCTTAGCAAGCTTTCGGGTTTAAAAACCCTTCATCGGGCTGAAGAAGCATCTGCAGTTGATGTGTGCTCTTCCTGGATGGAATGAATAGTAAAGAAGCTAGAGGCTGGTATGCATGCAAGAAAGGGAGTCAGTGAAAATGTAAATTGAGGAATCAGTGGGTGAGAGACAAGGTGAGGGGCAGGGAGAAGGAGGATGAATGTAGCAGGTAAATAGTGGAGGGGTACCTGGGGAGTCAGATGTCAGGCAGGTTATAATGCATCATAAATATGTATTTAGTCCATGATTTTTTGTATCCAGGAGATAGATGAAGTGAAGTTCATAGGCTCATCTGTGAAAAGGAGAGTACACATGACCCCAAAGGAACCCCTTGCTCTTGAGGGAGAATCTCGACCATAACAAAGTTTCCTTCTAGGTAGAGAGGAAGATTGAGGATTGGGAAAGGAAATCACAATACAGCTGTGATCACTTACCTGTGATCACCTGGAGAGACAGAGGCAGAGCTGGAGAGAGACCTGAGGTCTCCCAAGTCCTGGTTGGGTGCCTTATTTGCTAGGCTGTGCTGCACGTCGCATGCAGCCATGACTTGATGCTGTATAAGCATTTCTCTTGCCAGGTGTGAGAGCGTCAAGTTTCAGGAGCCTGAGATGGTGCCAGTTGATGTGGGGAAGAAATACCGCAATTACTTCCTGCAGGATGTGGTCATGAGAAAGATGGAGAAGGTTTTCAGTAAAGTCCCTCAAGGTAAAATCCCAGCTGCTTCCTTCCTCCCTATTGCATATTGGGATTATCAGTGTCTAGAGAGATCAGGACCCTAATGTGCTGCTGGACATTGCCCAAACACCCAGTGAAAGACCAGCCCCTGCTCCAGCTGAGTTCTGGGCCTGACTGTGGTGGGTGCTGCACAGACACCCCCGGAGAGACTACCCAGGGCTCCAGGACATGACAGTCTAAACAGGTTAGTCAGAAAAAGAGCAATGGGGGGGAACAGAGGCTGGAGCAGTGAGGTGACCAGGCTAAGTCAATGGTGAAGCAGGGGTTGTTGAGCCATGCTGTCCCCCCCCCAACCTCACTTAGCCTGCATGTGTGTCACTCCCATCCTGCAGCTGATGTGACCCTTGACCCAGATACAGCCCACCCGCACCTCAGCTTGTCCCTGGACCGCCGAAGTGTCAAGCTAGGTGAGCGACGCCAAGACCTGCCAGACAACCCCAAGCGCTTTGACTCCGATTACTGCGTCCTCGGCTCACAGGGCTTCACCACGGGACGCCACTACTGGGAGGTGGAGGTAGGGGGCCGCCGGGGCTGGGCAGTGGGGGCAGCCCGGGAGACGGCCCGGCGCAAGGAGAAGGCCAGCGGCCCCCACCAGAAGCGGGAGATCTGGTGCGTAGGCACGAATGGCAAGAAGTACCAGGCACTGACGGCCACAGAGCAGACAGCCCTGTCCCCAGGGGAGAAGCCTCGGCGCTTCGGTGTCTACCTGGACTACGAGCGGGGCCAGCTGTGCTTCTACAATGCTGAGAGCATGGCCCACATCCACACTTTCAACGCCACCTTCCGCGAACGCATCTTTCCCTTCTTCCGCATCCTGGCCAAGGGCACCCGCATCAAGATCTGCACTTGATCCCTCGCCTGTCCCTCCCCTCCCACCTTAGGCCTTCTCCCATGCTGGGTCTCCCTCCCCTGCTCCCCCCTGGCTACTCCCTGGGAGATCTGGCACTGCACAGAGGCCTCGGGGTGGGCACCTCAGCCAGCCCGACATTCCAAAGCCTGCAGAGTCCGTGTGTTGCTGTCTCTGTTCAGAGCGCGCAGGGGTGAGGTGGGGTCTGTTCTGTGGGCGGCAGACAGAACATTTCGCCGGCAGCCTGCCGTCCACAGCACTGTGCATAACGTTTCTGAACACGCTGCTCTGGCCCCACTGCCTCTGCCCGTCATACACATGAGCCTCAAATTGCCTATGCCATCCTGCCCCTCATAATGGTGTTGCTGCAGAGCCATCGCTCCTTTGGGCATTGTGGGAGGTGGCTGAACAATAGCCTTTGCAGAGCTTGCCAGAAGATGGACTGTGCTCCTGCAGATACTTTGACCCCTTGGCCTAAAAGCATATGGAGAGCTCTGTTCTGCCCATCATTTCCATAGTGACTTGAATAAACTGGGGGCATCGATCATATAAATCACCATGAATTACAGTGGGATTTGTGGCCCTGCAGTTGCTCTGAAAAATTCCTGTCTCAGGGCCTGCTCCCTACCCCTGAACCTGCTTGGTTCCCTAGTGTTTGGGCTTGTATCCAAACCTACAGAAACTTTGCTTCCCACTGCCATTGCTGTGTCTGGCTCCCAGCGCCTGCTGCTTCTCCCAGCCATGCCTGTTGTACCTGCGTCTGTACTTTTTTTTATTTTTTCCAATTCTCCGGAACAGCCTCCTGTCCCACCACCACCACCCTAGACTTGATCACCAGCTCTACGCCAGAACCATCAGTCACATCCCTCCTTGGTCCACTTTGTTTTTACCTTCCATTGCAGAGCCTGGACATTTTAATCAATTCATCAATTTTTGAAGCAGCCAGGCTGAGATGGGGGAAGGGGGTGGGATGGCTTCTTTGTTACAAGTATAGATGCCATCAGAGAACCATTCACAAAGTGACTGGAGATGCCTGGAACGTTGTGGCATGCTTCTGTTGCTCGCCTTGTCCATCCAGGGCATCACTTTGAGGCCACGGTGGTGGGAATCCATCTCCTCTTTTCCTATGCAGCTTAGAGCTCTCTGAGGTGTAGGTATTTATTTTTTGTCCCTTTCTCAGCTGCCCTCTCCCTGCTGAGTTTCCAACAAGCCCCCTCCCTCCTAGAGAGACTCTAATTGCACCTGCTGTGTTCTTTTTTCCCCCCATTGGCATTACAGAGCTAGTTTGAAATATTTTTGCCTAAAACAAGAGTTAAATGGAGATTTAGTTTTTTGAAATGTTAAAATAATAATAAAGAAAAGGATTGTACAGTTCAGTCTCTGCCTGGTCATTCACTTTGACTGGAGGGTTAAAAAGCAAAAGTTGCTAGTTGCTCTGGGAACAACCAGCTTGTTTCAGTGTTCAGAACAGGATGGAGGAGGTGCTGGATTTGAACCAACCAAGTTCCCTCTTGGGCCATCTCACAGTAGCCAGCACCACATGCTTTAAGCAGTGGACTAGAAGTGTAGGAGCAGACATGTGTAAGCAAAACCTTTCCTCCTGAGTAAGTGTCATTCGATTCTGCAGTAACTAAAGTTAGGGATTTTAATATCCCCACTAAAATCTGCTATATCAACTAGCTCTTACTCTGGTTAATTAATCAATTAATTCTTCTCTACATAAACATCTAGGGCCAGATCCTGTTCTAGGACCCAAGTGAGTTTAGCATGATCCTATTCCACAACAAAGTCCTTCAGAAATAGTTAATGCACCACATTTTTTGTACGCTGCAAACCAAACCACTTGCCTTGTTTTTGGAAGGCAGAATGATACATTTCCATTGTCGTGGTCAATCACTGGCTTTTACATGGTGTTGTGAAATAAATGCCAGCTTCTCTCTCATCCGGCAAGCTAAGAGCGTCTCTGAAAAGCCACCTCGCTTGCTTGCTGGCTGAGAGAGAAGCTGGCTGCCATGTTATGATAGCGTCTCTATGCTTCTATTCCAGTAAGAAAATTAAGTTTCCCCAGTTTTGGAGGGTTGATTTCTAGGCAAAAGGCATGTATAGTCTAGGAGTAATAAGGTATCTACTTCAGACCACCGTGACTAACCTTTAGGCATACTTCTTGTGACGCCGTCATCCTGAGTCTGAGTCGCTAAAGGGGGCCTACCTTTGTGAATGTTGGGTCCCTGTTCTTTCTTTGAATCTAGCTAAATTCTTAGCTTCAAGAACATCTTGTGGTAACAAGTTCCATCATCCAATTAACTGTTGGGTGAAAAGGGGTTTGCTTTGGACTTTTTTTTTTTTTTTTAAACCTCTCATCTTTGAATGGACCCTTTGTTTTTGTATTGCAAGGCAGAGAAGAGATGAGAATTTTTTCTCTCATCTTGATTATTCTATATATATATATTTTTAGCATGGTCCTTCCACTTTTTTTTTTGAAGTGAGACCAGAAATCTTGTTCCCATGCTTCCATCACTTTTCTCTGAACCTGAATTCTGTGATAAAACGGATACCTATTTTTAAACTGCAGTGTACCATGTTTTCTTGCATGCAGCATGCCTCCAAATATAATAGGTGCCTTGCTTTTGAAAGGCCAAATTAAGAAAAAAAGTTTCTTTCCAGAATTATGGCTGTATAGAGCAGGCAAGGAATCTAATCTTCAGCTGACTGATGAATTACTAGCTGCTGCTAGAGACTGCTCTTCATGGGTAGATCAATGACTAAAAAGAGCTAAAGAAGCTGTGAAATAAACCAGGAACTGAGAGCAGACCAAAACATTGCATAAGGAAGGTTAGCTTGATCAGTGAAACATTAAGATCATTTAAAAAACAAAAAAAACAGAAAGAGAGACTATGCTTAACAAGGAGTGTATTATTAGCACCTGTAGAGTGAAGAACAATGTGCCATTAAAACAACTGACCCCCTCAGCGATACCACAGCTGCTGCACTGAGCAGGAAATCAAACCAGGGAGCTGCTTTCCTGGGCAAAAAATCAGCTTCCTTGCTTAATACACACCTCCCAATTTGAGAGGCCGGGTGGGGAGCTGATTATGTGGTGTGTGTTACATGTGAGAAAACAAATGACATTTGTTAAGGTAATTAACAATTGTCCTTTAGTAAAAAAAAGACCATTTGATAAATAATTTGTCATTTTGGTGGCAGCAGTGAAAAGGTTCATTTTTGGACTAATGACAGGAGAAAAGGGTCTGCTGTAACACTGCTCTCTGGGCCTCTCTAGGGACCAAATGTGCCTTGCACCAGGAACTACTCTCCCAACTCTTCCCTGCTTCTAACTCTGATCTCATCCTCCACTCAGAAAAGCATTTAAGAATGTACTTCAGCCTCCTAAACTCAGTAGGATTTAAGTCTAGGCTGATCTCTTCCATTTTGCTGAAGTGATGTTGTGAAGCAGGTTGCTGTTTTCAGAAGAGATACTCCTGGTGCCAGGGGGGCTTAGAAAATGTAAGATGTGGGTATAATTCTTGTTTCTGTCACTTGCTAGCAATTTGATCTCAGGCAAACCAGAGCTTGGGATTTTCAGGTGCTCAGCAAGAGCCAGTGGCGATATTGCTAACCTGATTTCTTGAAATCTCAGCTCCTGAATGCATGTGATCAAATGAGACTCATTTTATTGCTGGCTGCAGAGAAAAGCTTAAAACATGAGTGCTAAGCCCTTACAATACTGGAGAACAGGTGAAAAAAGAACCCACCTCGTATTCTTTTTAAAGTCTTGTGTTACCTGAACTTTGTGTATTCTCAGTACTGTAATGTTGCCTCGGTGGCCTAGTCAAAGTTTGTCACGCTATTTGCTGTATATAAAAACTACAATCCTTGCTCCAGGTGACTCGCAGCTCCCACAACTTTACTGGGAATGGTATGAAGCTAAGCCCCCTCACCCTTCATAACTTTGTGTCTAGGTTCTAGCTGCAAAGCAGCCATGATAATCCCTTGTTTATGGCATGTTTGGAAGAGCAGGGATTGTTCTCTCCATCTACGCAGCTTTGTGGTAACTAGCACAATGCAACCTTGAGTTCAGTTGTGGCTTCTCAGTACTAATGAAATATTAATACACCGGAGTGCAGGTATATCCACATTCCAAGCCTCCATCTGCTATTGACTGCAATATATCAAATTGTGTTCAGTGCATGTTGCCAAGACTGAGTAGCAGTTTTAAAGGCACTCCTGTAAGCATGCTGCACAGCTCATTAGCCAGAAAACCAACATACATTTACCTAACCCTTGCTGCAATAATGAATGTGCCCTGTTTTTGAGACCCAGAGCTCCATATCATTTACCCTGAAGAGACCTCTACACAACACTGCTGTGTAGTCTAACAAAAAAATTCTGTAAGGCCCATATAGTATTTTGTCCTAGTTTTAAAAATATGTAGACATTTCTGCACCACAGGTTATTAAATAGGATTTTTCTTTCTGTTTGAGGCAAACATAATCTCTTGATAGATAAGGGTCAGCCTGTGTTAGGGAAAATAACCAGAATAGCTATTGCCAAGCAAGGCTCTGAAACGCGCACCAAAGCCATAAAACTAAGGCACTTCCCTATGGGGATTCTGTGTTTGGTCTAGCTCAAAACTGTTGCTTCTGGAATTGGCCTACCCTTGTTCATGAAGAACTTCCTAAGTGGATCCTCCTATTAAAGAACAAAGGTATCTGACTGCTGTTTATCTTAAGCAACCTGGAGATCAACAAACTGTTTAGAGCAAGGGCATTTTTTGAGGTTTCCAATGCTATGTCTGGTAGATTGGGGATACCCATCACACTAGTCATTAAGGCAACTTTTGTCAAATGTTTTCTGGGATAGTTTAGATTAGGCTGGTCCTGCTTTCATGAAGAAGGAGTGGGGAAGGGGTGACACAACTAGCTGACTTCTTTTCTATACCACTTCAAGCCCTAAAAGTTACTCTCAGAACTGCATTTGGGATCCCAGCATAGCCATAGTGCTTCTAAGGCATGGCCTCTGTGTCCTTTCTGATCCATCTCCTAATGTGTAATCCCCAAGATGTCATTCCACGTTCCCCATGCCCTGATCCTTATGGTCAATCTCCTCTGAAACCCCCACATTTTAAACTCCCTCCAGTGTGTTTATCATGCTACTTAACAATTTCCAATTTACCAAACATCAGGTTATTAACAAACTTTATTTTCTTTTACTGATTAAAAAAAACCAAACACTAACTTGTTCTTCTGCTTCATCTTCTGTAAACTCCTGGAAGGCAAGGCAAGATATGAAGATCTCCCAGCCCTCTATAATTAATCATGATGCACAGATCTCACCAGTAACCTTATGCCATCAAGTAAAAGTTGTTCAGCAATGCAAACCTCCCCTTTGGTATTTCATGAAGAGTCCTTTTTGAGATAGCAGGATCAAATGGCAGTTTAGATGGATCCTCATAGTAACTGTGTCCTACTGCGCTCTAGTGTCCCACAGAGGAAATATCCTCTTGAAGGTTGTTCAGGTCACATGTTAAAAGGCCTTTAGATACAGAGTCTAATACAGGGTTGGGCAATTATTTCGGGCAGAGGGCTGCTTACTGAGTTTTGGCAAGACAAATAGGGAAAAAGGGCAGGCAGAGCTGAGAACATAACTCCATTTTTTAGGCCTGTGTTTGGTAGACTCCACTAGCTCACTGTGCCAACAAAGCCAGTAACACCACTGCAGATGCCTAATATAGACATGCTACCATATGCACCTCATGTTATTCTCCTCACAGCTGTGATGGAGATGAGGAACTGAGGCACAGAAACAAAAGTGAGTTTTGGCACCTACATGCATTTGAGCTAAGTTGAGGTCATGCAGTAAGTCTGAGGCAGAGCAGGAATCAAGCCCAGATCTCTCCCAAATCTCAGGCTAGTGTCTTAACCACTAACCTAACTCTCCTCTCTTTTTGCCTCCTTTGCTGCAGTTATTCAGGACCTGTACAGCAAAGATGACACCAACCAGCGAAAACTTGAATAAAGCACTTTTAATGGATTTCTTTACACAAAAGATGTCTGAGTCCTGAGGCCACACTTATCTGGTGCCAATGGTGACCTGCCACACACGGACCAGGTTATCTGTGTAGCCAGCAAACAGGGTCTGGGGGAGAAAGAGAAGTCAAATCAGTAATACAGAACCAAACATGGGCTTGGGAGTTGTTCCCAGTCCAATCATGCTTCCAGCTGCTGGATAGACACTGTCTAATGGAGGGGGTAGGGGTCCAAGCTTGGGAGACTGAGGGAAGGTTCAAAGGTGCCTCCCTTTACCAACGTCAGTTTCCAAAACAATCAACGGATCAGAAAATGGCAGCTGCATACAGTAGGAGGCTGGGAGAAGGGGTTCATGTCTCCTGTGTAAGAGTCAGGAGACTTCAGGTCACAAAAGCTGGGAGGGTTGAATTTCTTGCTGAACTCTGAAAAGGCCACCTCTCTTGCTAGGAGACAGAGAGGGTATACAGGAGGTACCAGGCCTCTTGCTGATCAAACGTCAGCACCACAGAGAAGGGAAGGTATAGCAAACTGCCTCCTTGACACACCTGAGGCGAGGTATGAAATGGGAAAAGGCTTCCAGGGTCTTCCCTGCAGCCCTTCCTATGGACAGAACTGAGCAGGACTTAACCAGGGCAGGTCCTCAACCCGCAAGAGGAACTGAACTTAGCCTGTTCTCCACACTGAGTCACCCACCTGCAAGACCCATGCACCTGTACTGTCCCCAGCTCTAGACAGGTATTATGGCCCTAACCCTTTAAGATCCTATAGGCCAGCAAGGTTCCCAATAACCCTGTCTTGAGGAGGGCAGGATGTAGAAGAACCTGGCGCATGCTTCCCCAAGCTTGGTTTTACCTGCCCATCTGCAGACCAGGCCAGGGAGGTGCACTGGGGAGGCTCTGCTTTGCTGCTGGTGCTGATCACCTCTTGTTTCAACTCATCCACAATGATCTTCCCCTCCAGATCCTGGATTGGCAGGAAAGAGACCAAAGGGCAAGTCAGATGGGACACCACAACCTAACTGCAGACTGCACCTCTGTGAACTGGGAGAGAGAGGGGGCCTCCTGGCACTCAACTCACGAGGAGCAGCCAAGATTTTCACTGATGGCTCAGAAACAGCCTCTGGGTTTCCGCATGGATGCAGTCAGATGGCATGAAGTGTTTCATCACAGCGAGGCCCTGAAAGCTCAGATGCCAGGGAACAATCCTGCCCCATGGCCCAAAAGGGAGCAGGGACCAGCAGACAGGGCTAATCCACATGAGGAGGTTATGTCCCGCATGGAAACCTAACCTTTCGTTCAGAATGTGACTCCCAGCAGTGAGTCCATATAGGAAACCCAGATCCTGTGTCCCATGTACAGGTGACTGCCTCAGGGTATGACCTCTATGGAGACCCCCACTCACCCAGATCTTGATGCTGGGGCCAGTGGCGGCACAGAGCCAGTAGCGGTTGGGGCTGAAGCACAGGGCGTTGATGATGTCTCCACCATCCAGCGTGTACAAGTGCTTGCCCTCATTCAGGTCCCACAGCATGGCCTGGCCATCCTGGAGGTGGAAAAGAGATTCATGTCAGAGCCGGAGGAGGATCCCTGATTCCACAGCCTTCGAAATGCAGACATGGCCCTACATTCACCCAGGCCTTCAAGCAGGCAGCTGTATGGGCTGGGCAAGATGCACGTTGAGGGCAAAAATGAAACCTGTTCCATTGGCTACTGCAGGACCTCACTTCAAGGTGTTAATTTATGGTTCCATTAATGTACATCACATGCCCAGTGCTTTCTAAACACCAAAAGACAGTTCCAGCATGCAAGACCCCAGAAGTGAGAAGGAAACAGGCAAGTCAGATACAAACACAAGAAGCCATTCTCCCCACCACTCCCATTTCTGGACAGTGCCTGGAGCAACAGGGTCATGACTGGGGCCCAAAGAGTGATGAGGATGATTCCTCCCAGGTAGAGATAACAGGTATTTCTGTGGGTGGGGGCAGAGGCCTTGCAGACTGCATCAGGGAATGGTCCCACAGGCTGAGTGAGAATCAGGTGAATGATCAAGTGAAGGGAGCAGTGGTGGATGGGCCAAGGGGAATGAGGAGAGAGGATAACCCAACAGGAAGTCTGCATGGCTTTGAAGGGGAGTGACCATGGACCTGAACCAGACATTATCAAGTGCAGAATCCACAAGCGGTACAGACAGGGATATAAGGAAAGTCACCTGTGTGTTTGGGAGGGCAAAAGGAGGATATTGCAACAAATGAGAAGAGGATGAGGGTGTGTGGGAGGAAAAGGATGCTCTAATGGTGTGAAACTTGAGCCAACAGTGTCCAATTTGCTATCTTGCCACCAACTCTTATGTTGCCTTTGGTGTTATTCAACCTCAGCAACAGGGATAACCTTTAGGTCTAGGCTTATAATAAAGACTAACTCTCCAGCTCCCCAGCTGATTGTGCAGCACCAATCACCTTCCCTTGGCTTTCTCTATTTACACCCTGGGCTTTCTAAAGCATGATCACCTCTTTTCATTGCCTCTGTGCAACCCTATATTTATAGAAAAGTCCCCATTGATCACTGCTCCAATACAAACAGTAATGATCTCTCCTTCAAGAAAGCCTGAGAGATTTCTTGGACTGAATAGGACAGAATACTTGAGCATGCAGAAGCCCAGAGCTACAGCCAAGTCACAGCTGGAATACTGGCTGTGGAGCCAGGGAGAAACCAAAGCCATGCAGCATGCCTGGCTATGGCATCATGGAGAATAACAGGCCTTGAGCAGTTAAGATCCTTTGCCTGCAGAGATCAGCAATCCAGCACCATGGAGCCCAAGCCCAAGCATTCCGGCACATGTAAGGAGCACCTCACAAGTAGACAGTGACCCAGGCAGTGGTCTCCACACTCCCAAATGCCTCCCATCAGAGCAGGATTTGAAGGAGTAGCTGAGCGGAAGAGCTCAGAAACAGCCTCTGGGTTTCCTCATGGAAGTGTAGTCAGAAGGCTAATAAAATGCTTCGTCACAGCTCATCCCATTGCCAACAGGCTGGGAAAACACATGCTAAGTACACAGGACATCCTGCTCCTGGTACAACTGCTCAGGTCCCTTTAATGGTGTGACACTACTAACCCCATGCAGCCTGGTAACACAGAACCTTCTCCAACAGAATCTCTAGCACAAAACGCAGCCGCTCCTTCACCAGTTCTCCATCAGCCTGCCCAGCGCTCCCTCGCTCATCTCAGCTGAGTTCCAGCAGGACCCAAGAGGACCACAATCCCACCTCACAGCTCCACACCAAGCCCTACAGATGGATAGTCCGGCACACATACCTTGCCACCAGAAGCGCAGAGGGAGCCATCAGGAGAGACCGTCACTGTGTTCAGGTAGCCCGTGTGGCCAATGTGATTAGTCTTCAGTTTGCAGTTGGCCAAGTTCCAAACCTGAGGAGAAGGACGGTCAACAAGGAGAGAATTAAACACCACCCTCACCAGCTCTAGCCAGCCAGTCTCTCCCCCCACCCTATCATCTATATATAGGCTCTTGTACACCCCTCAGCACTGCAGCGAGAGCCCCACCCCTTCTGAGAAGGATGCATCCATACGGCAGGACATCAGTGCTTCCAGGATACACGAGGGTGATGGAGACAAGGCACAAACTCCAAGGACCCTTCTAGCGCCAACCAAGAAGAAAACAGCAGGACTAGAAGGGGAAACTGAAATTAACTTTCCCCACAAATGGGTGCCTTCTTGGATCCCCACATATCCCAGACTGCCTCTCGGAAAAGGCCCATTATGTTTGAGCATGGGTAGGAGAGAGAGAAGCAAGAGTGATGAGAAGCGGACCCAGGGAGGGCTGGCTCCCAGGAGTGCCAGCGCTCAGGAGCACCACTCACCTTCACCAGCTTGTCCCAGCCACAGGAGACGATGATGGGATTGCTGCTGTTGGGGGAGAAACGTACACAGGACACCCACTCTGAGTGGCTCTCATCCTGGGAGGAGAAGCAGAGGGAAGAGGAGGTGACTTGCGGGGGAGAGGTTGAAGAAGGATGCTCAAGTCAGAGTAAGGAGATGTGGCAAAGTGCATTTCCTTCACTCAGAATCTTGTTCTAAAGTACCTGCTCAGTAATCTCCTCCCATACTAAACTGGAACATGGGCTCCACAATCCCCATGCTCCAGTACCCAAAAGCTTGGACTTGTGTATCTTCCAACTTAATCTATTTGCACACTGCTGCCAGGTATCTACATTTGTCTTTTGCAATAGCAATAATCTATAGAAGAGTCTAGCACATTATGAAGCAGACTGAAAACATTTCATGCTCAGTTTTCAAGCAAGGTTAAAAAAGCAAGGTAAAGGCATCTTAGGTATCACAAGCCATGTAAATATAATTGAAAAAGAAAGCAAATAACAAGCATCTCAAATTTAAGCATCTAGAAAATGTCCACATAGTTCAATTTGGGGTTTGCTCTGGACAATGTTTAATAAATCCCTAGAAACCCTGATATTCCCCACATAATTCCCCTCTGCTCCAGGCCCTGCTTGCCTCTGTCCCATCATAATTGCAGGACGTGTCCTCAGACCCCAGTGGAGTCAGCAGACGTGTGTCAGATATAATCATTGGGACTGGGAAAGGACAGCACTGGGAGACCTAGCTAAAAGCAGAGTTGAACTACAAAAAATTGCTCCCAACAGGGGCACATATGAGGCCAACTGAAGAGACATTTTCAAGTAACGCCTCCCCCCCCTAACCACAGAATGCTTGGGATCTGAGGTCACATGTGGCTCATTTCAGTGGGACTACGGAGCTTCATCCACTGGACAGTGCCAAGAGCACAACTTCTCCACCCAGTCTGTATGAATCCCCACCTCACAAAGAGGCCCTAGATCACACAGAGCTAGCTGACATGCCCAGCCAGAGCTCAGAGTCCCATTTCATTCCTCAAGGGACAGTCAAGTGGGTTTCTACAACCAGCATATCTGAGGAAACAGTTAGGAGCAGAAGACTCATAATTTATTTTCCTGACTGGGAGGACATAACCACCAGGCACCCTCTGCAAGCCTCACCTGAACTGTGTACTTGCAGACACCCAGGGTGTTCCAGAGCTTGATGGTCTTGTCCCTGGAACCCGAGACAATCTGTCGGTTGTCAGATGAGAAGGCCACGCTCAGGACATCCTTGGTATGGCCCACAAATCGCCGGGTTGTGGTACCTCTGCAGGGGGCGAAAGGAAAAACATTCAGGTCACTCTTGGTGTCACTATGGACACCTCCTCCTACATCCACCTGCCAAATCCCTACTAAACTTCACAAAGAGCAACAGAAAAGGCATGGTGGTAAAAGGACTGGGGTGGGGGGAGGTTGGGCTCATGGAGTTGAAGGTCACCAAGAAGCATGAGCCAGGTTCTGAGTTGGGTGGGGTGAGGGGAGCGGGGGGAAACCCTAACAAGCAAACTAAATGCAATGTTAGAGCAGAAGCATAATCCAGGAACCCGCAGAGGAGACAGCCCAGGTAGATAAAAGAGGATGGGAGGTGTATCATGCAAAAAAAATAGGTGGAACAAGGAAAATAAAGGACATGACCAGCAGGAAACACCATAAAGCTCCCCATCTCCCTTCCTGTCCCATCATAATTGCAGGACATGTCATCAGACTCCAGAGAGTCAGCAGACTTGTGTCAGGTTTAATCATTGGGACTAGAAGGGAAGAGGAATGAACAAAACTATCTGGATTACCAGCCTTCTGCAGTCTTAAAAGCTGAGCTAGCCACTTCCTAGAAGTAGCTGTTTCAGGCTGGTGACCCATACTCCGAAATCAAACATTTCTGAAGTCTTAAGATTAAAAAGTGCACAGGACAAAGCATGCTTGACCTGGAATTGAAAATGTGGGGCACACAGGGATAAGGATCTCCCCTCTTTAAACTGCCAACCCTTGCTATATCCCTGGTTGCTTTTTGTAACGGGTCCGTGGACTTCAAAATGGGCAGCCAGTACTACTCCACAGTGCATCAGTGTAGTGGGATGGGAAGGGGGGCTGTGATCTGCAGAGCAAACAGGCCAAGGAAGTTAGAAGCGGGGAAAATCTCAGCATCACCCCCAGGGATATCCTATTCCCTGTCTGTTCTACTGTGTTCTTTCGCCATGTTCTCTGCCCCGCAGACTCTGTTTCTGCCAAGGAAGCCACCCTGTCCTGTTCTTCTTCCTGTCACTCACGTGGTAAGGTCCCAGAGGCGCAAGGTGCCATCCCAGGAGCCAGAGAGGGCAAACTGCCCATCAGAGGAGATGACCACATCGCTGACAAAGTGCGAGTGGCCACGCAGGGCGCGCTGTGGGATCCCATAGTTGGTCTCATCCCTGGTCAGCTTCCACATGATGATGGTCTTGTCTGTGCAGGAGAAGCAAAAAGGAATTAGCTGCGTCTCCCTACCACAGCAAAAGAGCACAGGGCCTGGAGACTGCCCCTAGATTGGACTGGGCAGCAACCACTGAACCCCTTCATACCATTCCTGAGAACAGCCCCTGGAATCAATCATGGCATTTACCCAGTCCCAACCTCTATGGCACAGTTGATCACCAGTCTCATCAAACGTGGGCAAATTAGATTATACCAACATGCGTCCTGTTCCCAATATCCTTTCCATTGCACCAACCTGTCCCCTCCTCTGAGACAAGGCTGCATAAAAAGGCAAAACCCCTTATCCCCAATCCTCACCTAACCACTAAGTCTCCAAATTCCCTCTCTTTTATTTTATAGCTATGGGCTTCTCCTGAACAATGTGCCCTGACACGGAGCCCCACTCACCCTCCTTCCCAGAATCCCATCATAATTGCAGGACTTGTCATCAGACCCCAGAGGGTCAGCAGACGAATCAGGTCTAATCATTGGGATCGGGAGGTGTGCAGCTCCATGATACTAGCAGGGATGAACCTCAGTGCATTGATGGCCTCTGGGCAAGCAGAGAAACTTCATCCTGGGCAAGCAGAGAGCACCCCCCACCCCCAGACAAGGAATTTGTGCAAGCCCCCAGAGCACCACCAACCCATGACAGCCTGAGGGTAGGGAAGGGATCCTAGGCTGGGAAGGTCCCAAAGCTACTCCCTTTTGATCCCTCCCCACTTTCTGCTGGATTTGCCCCCTCTCAGGGATTGAAAGCCTAACAGGCCCCACCATCCTGCAGAGACCTTCAGTTCCCAAAACCCTCAGAGAGCCTCAACAGGTAGCACCCCCTGAACACCTTTTAGTGGGGCTTCCCCTCACAATACCCCCCACCTCCAGCTCCTGGAAGAATAAACAGCACCCCCCACCCCATAGCTAGGGAAACTGAGTCCCAGCAACCCACCCAGCCCTGCAGCCTGGTACAGACGGGAGATGGGAATTAAACCAGAAGTCTGAGCTCCACTTTCTTGTCCTGAACAAGGTCTGCACCTCCCCGGCCCCCTGCCCAGGGGCTCTTCCCGGACACCCACCCCTTCCTCTCGGGCACCAGGTTCTGCTGCCCCAACCCCTCCCAGGCCTAAGGGCCCCAATCCCCTCCAGCTGCAGCCACATCTGCACAAAGCTGAAGCAAATGGTGCAGCCCCGTGTCCTGGCCCGTCAGTGATCCATCCCCCACCGCACCCCTCCACGTGGCTGCAGACCCAGCATCCCCAGTGGCACATCCCACCCTCCCCCCACCAGCAAAATGGTATCTCCCTCTGCCTGGTTCCCCACCCCCACTGCAGGGTTGGTCTCTGCCTAGCCCCCAAC